CACAGGGGTTATATGTGTCTGTGTTACTGGCTTAACATTTTACTACAAATAATCATTTCTTTACAGATTTGGATTTCCTTTTTAAGTTTTCAAGCACTGAAATAACTCAAATACAAGCTTTAACCAGATAATTTACCAAATCTCCTGAGAGCTGGATCAATGCTGTTGGGTCTGTTGGTGGCAGCCATGACGATGACATGTGCTCTCTGTTTCAGGCCATCCATAAGAGTCAGCAGCTGAGAAACAATGCGCCTCTCCACCTCTCCATGAGTCTATGCAAAACAAAAGACATTGTTGACGCAGTTCACATTTAAAACATCCTCTCGACACTGAACACTTGATGAAGAGTGAAGCTCCTAATAGCTATATATTAAAGCAGTGAGTGAAAGACTATTGTGCACAATTAACTTAAAACATCTAGGGAAAAATAATCATACATTAACAGACCACACTTTTTTGTACTATTTCAGCCCTCTTCTAGATCAGGGCACTGACGGTCATTTTCAATCATTTTAAAACACTCAAATCATAAACAGCTACTCTACTGTTAAAAGAAGCTTTCCACTCACCTTCTCTCTCTTTGGAGCAATTGCATCAAGTTCATCGATAAAGATGATGGCAGGAGCATTCTTCTCTGCTTCCTCAAAGGCCTTTCTCAGGTTACTCTCGCTCTCTCCAGCCAGCTTACTCATGATCTCAGGGCCTAAAACGAAGAGGCAAACCTTTTAATTTCAGAGGTAGCATTCTTCCAAGCAACCATTGATCAGATTCTGATAAATATTCATTTTAACCGATCAACTACAACGCAAACCATCAGGGACAAACTCAGTGTTATCATCACAACGGCCACAACTAGGAATAAGCGCACATAGAGGATAAATATAAATGAGTGTTCACACCATTAATCAAGAAGAAGAAGGCTCCTGTTTCATTGGCCACAGCCCTGGCAATCAAGGTTTTTCCAGTTCCAGGGGGTCCATATAGCAGAATTCCACGTGGGGGCTGAAAAGGGAGAAAACAATTTTGAGGTCAGCATTTTTTTTGAAAAAGGGAAAACATCTGTAGGTTAAACAGACTGAAGAGCTCTAAACTTGAAGTCATCTTTCTACAATTCTACAATTGCATTTTGTAGATGCTTTTATGCAAAGTGATGTACATCTGAGAGGGGATACAACACAAACAAGGATCTAGTCAGGAGAAAACAATCTAGATAAGTGCCATAGAACAAGTTCGAATGTGACAGGGCATAGCAGCCAATAGCAGGCTGTGCAGGAGGTAACAGGAAAGTTTTTTTCTTCCCCCCTAGTCTTTCAAGCGTAAAAGTGGCATAACTACACAAACCGAAAGCAAGCCAAACAAAACCGAAAGCGTCGAACACCTGTCTACTTCTAGCTTTATTTGGATTAAATATTTAAAGTGCGGTGTACTACGGACATAATAAAATGTGCTATAAACAGCAATACAGATGTCAGTTACACAGTAATATCCTTTAATATTGGCCACAGGTTAATCCTTTACAACTATGATTTTAGCACAAACCTTGTCAAATTTTAGGACAGGTGCAGTTAATGCTACAGAAGTTCTACTTCACATTGTAATCAGAAAAAGTGCTATTTCTTTACCATTTAGCTACACAAGTTACACATTCTCACTTTAAAATTCCACAAAGAAGATCAAATCAGTTTTCCATGCGTGTTAAGAAGGTGCCTCACCTTGACTCCTATGGCCTTAAACAGTGCAGGGTGTCTGAGAGGCAGCTCCACCATCTCTTTAATCTGAGCTAGCTGCTTCCTTACTCCTCCAATGTCATCATAGCCCACCTCGTTCAGGGACTCTTCCTCATCCTGCATGTTCAAACACAAGATGTTCACATTTCTGAGCAATTTTGCTTTAGGCAAATGTTCACCTATCTCCCAGGAGTGTAGCTGCTACTTACCTCTCTCCTGATTGGCTCTCCCTCACAGTGAATGACTGTGTCAGGAGCAACAATACAGTAGGGGGAGGGATCAGTCTCGACCACCTTGAACTCGACAGCACGCATGCCTCCTCTGACCAGGAAAATATCCCCTTGACAAGGTAAAAGAAAACCAGTTACTACTCCAACAGAGCTACATGTTTACACTCACTGACCAAGATTAATAGGTATGCAACATAAAACCTCTGTCTTCACAACGGACAGATGGAAATTGGTATTCACCTTTGCGGATTGGCCTGTAAGCCTCTAAGAAGTATGGCTTCAGGTACACCTCAAACAGGTTGCCAGTAATTCCTTCTACTGTGTCATCTATTGGGAGGACGTGAATCCTCTTTCCGTATTTCACATCAGGACATGGCTGGATGCTACGGGAGAAATAACATTTAATACTATGTCTTCCTTAAATGGACGTTAAAATAAATACAGAAAATTAGACAAGGGTGTGCTTTTTCGTACCTGATGACATCGCCAAGACGGACCCGCAGATTGTTGCGGACCACCCTGTTCATGCGAACCTTTTCATCAGAACAGGTATCATCAGACAGCACGATGCAAACAGTCTCCCGCCTTTTCTTTCCCTTCATCAGCACTGTGTCTCCACGGAAGAGCTGCAGCTCATCCATCTTGGTCTAAAGACACATTAAAAAAAAAAAAACAGTTAGTTGTGAATCTCTGTGTTGTTATCAGTCAGTGTATCACAAATATTTACAAGGCTGTGAATGTGTACCTGAGAGAGGGAGACCACACTGTTGTCTTCATTGATGGATTCATCAACAATCAGTCTGTTGGGTCTGTTCTTCTGTTTCAGGATTGCTGTTGCTAGATCATCATTTTTGGATCTATGATGAGAGGAAGATAAGAGAAGGTCAAACAAATACTTATTGCGCAACTCAAAAGGTCTCATGCAGCTCCTACAACAACAATAAACACAATTAAAAAAGTAAATGTTCAAGCGAAGACAAAAATTGAACAGGAAAGAAGGCTTATTACCACATTCTACAACAAACGAATGCTAGATTTTCTAACTTCATTAAATCTACCTATGATAAATCTAGCCCCTAAGGTGCTCTGTGACACTTTTCAGTACATCTCCTGAGAACTATAATTACACCCTTTTGTTCTCCTTTGTAAGATGGATTTCTGTGTTCAAAGGGTCAGTAAGGTTAACTGCTTAACCATGTTACTCATAGTGGACCATTATAAGGATACTTAAATCCACGATAACATGGGTTTATTAAAAGAGATTGGGTATCATTTGGACTCGGGCATGAGGATTTGCATTATTCAGTGTTGGTACCTAGTATTGCCATTGTAAATGATCGATCTGTTTGGAATTGCTGAGCTGAAATTACATCTATTGTGTTGTCCTTGTATTTTAGCAAATACCAAAAATGTGAATATGTGTCACAAACCTATGACGCCGTGGTAAATACTGCTGTTTAGTATTTATGTTTTTGCCGAAATAATTACATTTATATAAATGTTAACAACAATAATAACCACATCATTAAGTATGAACGTCTGTAACATTGTAAACAGGTCGTTTACACAACACCCGCTTACAATTGTTAAACGATATAACCTGATAATTCGTCCATCCAAAATACGTTTAAAAAAGCAACACGAGGTCAAGCAGCTTCTAGAAAACTCTTGGACCGTTTATGTAGTTTCTTTTTCATGTTGTTAGCATGCTAATGTTAGCCTTACAGCTAGCCGACTGGCGAGCAAGCGAGCCCAGATGACACAGCAAAAGAATTAGAAAAAAACTTTGTGAGCTAGCTAGGTTACCCTTTAAAAGACTTACGCTACACATGTAGCGTGACTTTTCACATATTAGCTGCCAACGTAACCTTGGGGTTCATATTAACCAGATTGGTCATTTCTCGGCTGTTAAGCTAACAGCGAAATAGAATCCAAGTAAATTGTCGATCATTTAGAATGAGTAGCCAACCCTATTAGCCTGCTAGCTTTGATGCACTGTGTAGAATGGCTATAGGCAGCTCGCCATGAAGTTAGCCGTCTGGATGGCTGACGTTCCCTTTCGTAAAACCGTTAGCATATTACCCAGATCTGTCGTATTTCCTTTACAGACTTATATTTGTGGCATTTACAATTTGACGCCAAGTCTAAAGACAGGCTAATAACCGGTGGATAGGCCAATTTGTCGGTGTGATGGTGGATGGCTTTGGCCTTGACATCATTGCTATGCTAACGTTAGCATTCAAACACGACAGCGATGACTGCGCTTTGTCAAGTCGCTGTCACACAGCTGGCTAACTCAGTATCGTCAACAGACCAACAACAATTGTGTGGATGACAACAATTTAACAACGGTCGACAATAGGTCGGAGTAGCATACAGCAGCGAGTACAGTTGCAATATTAGGTTATCCAATCAACGGACAAAAGTGCGGAGGCTGAAGTAACTGACCCCATTAGCTCTCCTGCTAGCAAACTCGGCAATGTATTAGCATTCGAGCTAACTTTAATAAACTAACGTATTCTGAACTGGCGTTAGACATTTAAAGGGTATTTGCCGAAGGCCATTGTTCTGAAAAATGCATTTTAATAAGACTGAAAGATATTTGTACTCACTCCCCTCCCGAAGCCATGGTCGTCCACCTGGATTACTATTAATAAATAAAGAAATTCTAGCTAAATGTTTAAGAGGCTTAACCGGTTCTCGTTACTCAACGTTCTCTGTGATTTCACACGAAAGAGCAGCAGTTTCCGTGCTTTCTTTACTGTTATACCATGAGCTGGATGCATCCTTCTCTCTGATTGGCTGCTGGCTGGCCGTCAAACTCGACAACCAATCAAAAAACACGGAGTCTGTCGTCACCGGGGGTTTTGTGGAGCTGGAGCCACTTATGAAGAAGCGGGATGGTCCTATTTCCATCAACTTTCCTCTTATTGGCCTGATACCAGAGCCCAATCACCCAATTGTCGCCCACCGCGTTGATATTAAAGAAACGCGAAAACATGAAATTGCCTTTACTCTTGGTAACAGCATGCCTGTAGGCAAGTGCAAACGAATCCTAATGTTTATTTGTGGATGATATCCTTACAACAAGCTGCATAAACACACATTTTAAAGCAGCAACACAGTTTATTGCAGTAGTAAGCACTGTGCTTGATATTTACAAGTATTATCAAATATTAAAGTAACAGTCTTCATCACTCTTCCAGACTAACATACACTTTTCCTTCCTAAAAGCCAGTTCCGACCCTCACATCATCATTTCATGCATAAACCACATGTCAGGAGTGTCCATTCTCAGTTTCAAACACTGTTAACTCAGACAGCATGCTCTATTTTACTGTCCCACTTCATGCATGTTTGTTGTGGGTATGGGTTTCATTTCACAGGCCAGAGAAAGTCGATCCGATTCGCTAGGTGACAGGGCATTCTCCTTTTGTCTCCAGGCTGACTAGGTAGGACCAAGTTCCTGTATTCTGTGGCGCAGCTCTGTAGAGTCCAACAAAGGGCCAGACTGAGGTTCCTGAAGGTACACAGGTAGACTCCTGCAACACAAACGGCAGAATGACAGTTAGGGGAGCACAGCATCACAACAGAGTAAAGGTGCTCTGCAACAAGAGACGGATTAAACTACTATGTCTACGTGTTTTTAAAATATATCCTGTTGAGGCCTAGTATCATAAATAATCACATAGTACTTCTGATTCTGATATTGCGAATGCATTTTGATCTAACTAAGACAGGCCTATGTTTGTTCAGAATCCACTTTTTGTAGCCATTCACCATTTATGATTAGAGGAGTGTACTTTGAAGCTAGTTTGACATAGTCAGGCTTTCTTAGTGTAAGCTGGCTCAACAAAACCTAAAACTACTGCAAATCAGAGATAATGGGTATTACTTTTTTTTTTTCCCAGGCCCTGTGTGCGCTTACATAAAAGAGGGTAATAGACGCATTATTTGACTCATCTTCCACAAAAAGATCAATCACATGCTGCCTACTTCAGTCAAGAGCAACAGACTGTTAAAATGGAGAGCCATGAATAAAATGGACAGCACATCAGGACCAAGCATAAAAGCATATTTTTGCATTTTCTACATCAACAACTGAACGCGTGCAGGTCAGGAAAATAACTCGTGAAAAGGTGATGCTCTTACAGCCAATATAAATCCCAACCTCTGAACATAACCTCCCTTAAAGACGTTAGCAGCATCAGTTACCATGGTGATCGAGTCAGGTTAAAAGAGAGCCACTTTCCTGACATTGAAAACGCTGGCTTGAGGCCAACCCTCAGATTGTAGCTTAATGGTTTATGTTTGATGATACTGAGTACACAATACTTTAGTGGGGTTTCCTGAGCAGGTCTGAGTGAAGCTTATACAACCAAATCCCATAACTAATACTGTATGAAATGCTACATAGTGTAAATTACAACTGTACTGAATGCAGTGAATGTAAGAGTGACAGTGTCTTACTTGTCTAAGGACTGAGTGGTCAAGCTCCAGGTCTTTTCCCAACAAGCTGCTGCCTCCCGCCTCCTCCTGAGCCTCCACAGCACCTCACCACACCACAGCCCTGCACCCACACACTCTGAGACAGCACATACAGCGTGATGATGTGTTCTCACAAAGGAGCATGCAAACCAAGGGCATATTCACTACAGTCCTGAGGTGCATTCATCCTAACACCCACACTTCACTGCACATACATGCAAGGTAAAATAGGTGCTACTGTATGTTTTATAAACTGTAAAACTTACAATGTTCATATGTTTGGAACTACTTGCTTCACACTGCTTCAACAGCATGAATGGCCTGACCTAATAACTTTCTCTACATTATCAATATTTTGATACTAAATATACTCAGTGAACAAGATTCAGAATATACTGAATGATGTCAACTGTGGAAAAGGTGTGTATCTCAGCTTGAAACTACCTGAGGGACAATAAAAGAGACATACAGGCAAAATATGGTGGCTCTATCATGCAGTTAGTAAGTGTAGATGTAAAGTGTCTGTCTATGGCTGTCCTTAACTTGACTCTGTATAACCCAGTCGCTGCAGTAAATATAAACATACGTCAAAAATAGCTTCTGCTTTACACATCATTAAGTTATAGCTGTGGTGTGCATACCTGGAAAGGTCTGCAGGCCGAGCTGGAGGTCTCTCAGTGCCTCTTTTAGCTTGTCTATCTGGATGAAGCAGATGCCCCTACCAGCTAGTGAAAGTCCCTTCAGCCTTTCAAGGACACATAGATCTTTGCCTCGTTTGACATCCATGTCTGCACCGGGGATCTGTGGTTGGAAATCTGTAATCGATCATTAATCAACAGCAGCTATAGGTTGTGTAAAAAGGGAGAGGTCTGTACAAAGCATACAGAACAAAAAAAAAAAACACTCACCTCTCTTTTTAAAGCGTACCTTCACCAGCAGGTTGATACACCTGTAAAGCAGAATACAATCTTAGATTTTTGTTGAGACTCACAAAAACTGATGATAGAATAAAAACTAATTCCATCCCACAGACCTTGTGTAGTGAGTCACAGCTTGTTTCCAGTCCTTCAGGTGAGAATGGCAGTGACCCTGGAGGAGGTAGGCAGCTGCGGTCCAAAGCACCATCGCCAAACTATTTTCACCCTCCATGTCCCTGGTCTCAGCCTCACGTCTCTCCTCTGGCTCTTCCAACACCACTTTCTCTGGCAGCAGTTCCAGTGTTGTGCTGTTGACTTCATTGCAGAGCGCCAAACAGTCTGCAGGCCGCCGGGCCATGAGCAAGGCAGCGCCAGCCTCCAGATAAAGCTCAGGTAACTTTGGGAGGGTAGCATCCTCAGTGTGCAGCTGAGACAGAGACACACAACAAACACAGGTCAGTTAACATGTTAAGAAAGTAAAGAAGTCTTTGCCAGAGCAAATATATTATGACTTCTCAGAATATAGATTTACTATTACTACTGTTAATTTAAAATAAATCATGTATGTATGTATGTATGTCATTGTTTTCACTCTTACTCCTTGTTGATCTTCTGAGTGTACAACTGCCAGCAGGTCCAGATAATGTTCAACACCCTCTGACACTCTGCAAAAACAACACTCATTTATCAACTACAGTGTGTAATGTCTCATCTCCACCTTTATTTTCTGGTTTTGAGGAGCGGTCAGGTGCATTAGAGTTACGGACACTCCTCCCTGCTCATCTCACCTGCCATAGAGCACACATTTGAGGGCCAGACTGTGAAGGACGGTGAGGGCAGACGGGACGGAGAGCAGGCTGCTCAGCGATTGGCTGCGCAGGAGTAAGGACGGAGAGAGGAGATGGGTGCTGCCCAGAGCAGGCTCTATAGCAGAGGGCAGCATCAAAGTCTGTGGGACAAGAGGTTTCACATTTCAGCCTGCAGGCCTGCACTTAAGTGGATATGTGTCAGCGATCAAAGTTTATTGAATTCGATATGCTTTGTTGTCAGGTAAACAATACAGCTAAAGCATCAAGGATGGTACAATTCAAAAATAAGGTGAAAGAATGAAAAAGGAAAAAAGAGATACAACAGAAATGTTTAATTACAATAAAATGAGTAGTAAATAAAAAGAACAAGGCAATGGGAAAAAAAAGAAAAGCTGTAAAAATGTGTATGCATTTGTAAATGTTCACAACAACACATAAGAGACATTTATTTGTCAAATTTCAGTGATGTTGTTGACGTAATTATGTATCCCTCACGACATGCAGTCACATATTGTGCAGCTTCTTATGCTGCATGTCCTTTTTCCAAATCAAACTACCTAAAGTATTCTGCTCTTATACTTTATATTTGTCGCTTGTTAAGGTGAAGTGCATCTCTGTCTTTACTTTACCTGTCATACAATGACAACTGATTTTTTTTCCCCACTGTTGGTAGCCATGACTTTTTTTAACAACAAAAATTATTTATCCACATCTACCAGACCAACGTTAGCCTAATCTTACCAGCAGCTGGAATAACGTTTCTCATGTGCATGTACTGTATGTGTACTGTGAATGTGTGTTACTCACTGAGTGCAGCAAGCGAAGAGCTTGTATCTCAGCCTGTGTGTTTCCCAGCTGTCTGTAAATGAGCATGCTCTGGTAGAGAGCACACACACAACGGGAGTCTGTCTCAAGTGCCTTTCTGTAACACTGCAATGCCATCTGAGGGCGTCTCTGGAGACAGATATAAACAATATGCTTACAGCATGCAAATGCTCAAACGTGCTACAGTGTTGTTTGTGTGAGTACTGGGAGTGTACCATATGGGTGAGGCAGGAGCCTGAGAGGAGGTGTGTGTACGCTACTAGAGCTCTGGGAGCTGGCAGGGCCGAGGCTGCCTGCAGACTTGACAGCGCTTCTGAACTCCGACCCTCGTTCAGCCTCTCTGCACCTTAGTCAAACAGAGCACAGCCAAACACAGGGATGATTACTGAAGGAGTCTATTTATACATGACTGTCATCTATCAGTGCCATATACTGTATAATCATTCCCATCTCCAAACGTTGTTGTCTTTAATCTATTTACTAGAACTAGTTCTAGGAGCATGTACTGACAATTTAGCTGCTTTAAAAGTCATTTCTAACAATCAACACTCAAATACATACTGCACCACATTCATCTGGCTTTAGATATTTTTTCCTGTCTCCTACTGTGTTGTTTTGGTGGCAACTGGGCAAAAAGGTGATGAAGCATTTATTTAGAAAGCACAGAGCAGCAATCCAGACATTAGATGCGTTAGAAGCTCCATACATCATTATAGTCTCGTCACAACAAACCATAACTGGCCCTTAAAAATGCATTAAGAAAAACCACAAATGTTGCTGACCTAGTGCAATGGACGTGCAGATCTGCAATAACTCAATAAGCCTTCTTGGGTCCATCACCAGTAGTGGAATGTTTGAGGACTTTGGCCTTGCCTCGCTGACACTGCCATCTCCTATTCCACCACACAGTGTGTCAAACAGAGCAGACATCTCCTACATCACAGGAAAAAAATACAGCAGTAGTTCTGTCATATCCACAATAACAACTGCAAATAACTCAAATCTGTACTATCCCACACAACAGATGTGGGCTGGACACAGGGGGCATACAGTAGGGGATTAGATGCTTATCCGTCATGCAGTACCATCACAGAGGAGTCTAGTTGGTTTGAAATTCATTTAACAGCATGACAACACTAACAATACAGAAAGAGTGACGAAGAACTATTGTCAGTTATAGATGCAACAATGAATTCAGCAACAGGGCCTTGATCTCAACATAATCAGGTTTGTTTGGGGTTACATGAAGAGACAGGATACTGAAACAGAATAACTCCACAGAAGAACTGTGAAAAGATTATTGTAATACCGTAATTTCCGGACTATAAG